TTGTTTTTATTCTTCCGCAGGCCTGGTGTGTTTGTGGGCGGGGGAGGGGGGTGCAAATAGGCTTTTAGTCAGGTTAGGAAATGTAAGTTAGCTAGGCGAGTTGTGTGGCGCAAACAGGCCAAGAAATAAGCTAAGGAACGTTAATGTAACCCCTTCAGAATTAACGATGCTCAAAGGATGAGATCGAAAAGTTTTTTTTTTCTTAGTATGATTTTTAATTTAGTTGCAACTTAAAACACATTCGGCTCCTTGATGAGACTTCTCCTACAGCTACCTTTATTTATTGTGAATGCCTGCTTAAATGCAGGCTATCAGGTCAAACTTGTAGCATTCAATACTCTCCTCAGTAAAGAAGAGGAGCCTCTCTAGCTGTTGTGAAGAGGAGGGGAGTTATGGACTATTCATAATGAGCCATATATTTTAGGCAACAGACTGCTCATAAAAATTGAAGACAGGAGTTGCAGGGGTTTCTGTTTCTTCACTGATATGTGCTCTGGCAATTGATAACCAACTGGTTAGCCTCTCAGAGCTTTAAATTTCTCTTAATTTGCTAAGCATTGTTTCAGCTGGTGGCAGACTACTCTCTCCTGTGCTGTAGGACCTGACTAGTAACACAAGTCTAGGTCTTCATTGGAAAAATCATCATTTTTGTTTTATGTTTCTTAAATGCTCTTTTTTTGTCTATAGTAACATATGAAGGCTGTAACAACTTTGTGACCGAGATTGGGCCACTAAGTATATTTAAAAAATTAAGATTGGTTGTTCTAATTGCAAGTATAACTTTATAGAATTTAAATAATTGATCTGGACTGAGCCTTGCTATCGTTTCTGACTTTTGTTAAATTTAACGTTGGTGTGGTATGTTTGTAAAAAAGAAAAAAGCCTCTGACTTTATTCCTTGATGGTCTGTGGTGCACTATGGTCTCTGATTCATACTTTTCATAAAGCTAAAGGTACTTGGGTGTGGGAGACCCTAGCTTATGGGTTCTGAAGACAAATTTGTCTAATAATTAAAGAACAACAGTATCATCGGTTTTTGACTGCCGTTCTTCCTGCATGCTTTTTTTGCAGCTGCAGGGAAATCAACGTTTGTGAATATTCTCAAGCAAGCTGATGAGGAATGGGAGGTTGTTCCTGAGCCTGTAGCAAGATGGTGCAATGTTCAACAAAATGCTGAAGAGGATGGAGAGGTATGATAAAAGAAACTAAGCTGAAACTTTTAAACTGGTTAAAAGCTCTTCTAATTTCAGAAGGCTGATATATCTGATAAAGCAAGTATCTTAGAACATATATTGGGTCGCAACTAGTTCACTGATTCTGGTTGTGTTATTGGACTTCCCATTGTATTTGCAAACAGTGATTTTTGATTAGGTAGGCTTGCGATGTTCAAATGCTTTATTGTCAGACCTTCTAGCCTATGAGGTGTACTGTAGAATAAATGTCACGAAATATCAGGTATATAAACTGTAAAAGTGAGGAAAGCGTGCCCTTTCCTTATAAAAGCAAGGGATGGAAAAACATTAGGCAGAATTTACTTTTAGCATATGTGAACTAACCAGGTGAAAGCAGGGAGCTGTCCAGGTGTCCTGAAAGGTATCCTCGAAAATATTTAGGAAATAATGAAATACTGCTAACTTGTTTATAGTATGTTTTGTGGGTGACTCCCTGCTGCAGGGGACAGAGGCACCTATCTGCCGACCTGACCTCTTGTCCAGAGAGGTTTGCTGCCTGCCAGGGGCTCGAATAAGAGATGTTGTGGAAAGACTGCCAAGGCTTGTCCACGCGTCGGACTACTACCCTCTGCTGATCTTCCATGTGGGTGCTAATGACACAAAAGGCAAATTGGGAACCATCAAACGGGACTTCAGAGCTCTGGGGATGGTGGTCAAGGGTCTGGGAGCCCAGGTGGTTTTCTCCTCAATCTTGCCTGTGAGGGGAAAGGACAGGAGGAGGAGTAGACGAGTTTTCCAAGTTAACAGCTGGCTGCGCCGCTGGTGTTGGCAACAGGGCTTTGGTTTCTATGACCATGGGACCCTGTTTGAAGATCAACAGCTGATGGGGAGAGATGGGATCCACCTTACCAAGCGGGGCACACG